AACCCCAACCCACGCAGGCTATACCTTCCAGTGTTCCCTTGCAATCCCGTTCCGTCGTTCTCCCGTCGTCGTTGGTCGCCCGCTAAAAGGGCCTATCATCTTAACCTGCGAGAACACGAGCCGGGGATATCGTGTTCAGAATTAGTTTCTAATTNNNTAATTCGCTGCGCTGGCGAAGCCCAGAGTAAATTCACATTACACTGAATCCCATCTCGCTTCAACCGGTAACTGAGTGAAAATTGGTTCAAAACTCCTTCAACTACTCCTGGAACAAAGTACTAAAACCATGTGATTTTCGCTCATGATTCTGGTTCACCGCCATCCACTGGGGTGACTAAAAGGACTGGATGGATGATTGCGTTGATCAGGAAGAGTGGGCAATCTGATCAAAGCTGGAAAACTGACAAGTGTCACGCATTACATTCGAAACTGGTGCCTTCCCCATGGAGTTCGACTGAATCCGTTTTGATCCGACCACCACCTCAGACACACCCACACACACAATCACACGAAACATACTTTATCATCAAGAGACTGGGTTTCATGTCAGATCCAGCCATAGATCGAGGGATTTCCACGATTTAAGGGGTATACATATTCTGTCATAAGTTGAAATAATACAATGCAATACAATACAGTGCAAAGAGATTACGAATAAAATGAAGAACAAAGTTTCACAGATTGGATCGATGAGACAACGCATTAGCATCAATAAACATCGAGGTGTAACTCACACACACACACACACACACACATAGAGGCATATCAACAAGTGAAAAAAGAGTACGGTGTGTGATCACAATAGTCAGAACGACATGAATGAAGAAATTTTGAACGAATTTCCGATTGGGTATGGGTTTTCTTTTGCTCTCTGGACGAACGAACGAATCGAGTTGGATTATCTGGATCGATCCTCGGGTACAGGAAACGCAACGGAAAGTCCGGATTACCAGTTTTGTCTAAGATATCTGACCCACGTGCCAGCCGAAACGGACAACGAGTTGGGGAGCAGAGAATCCACGTACAGAGCAAGCCAACAATCTCCTGTAAGGGAGTTGAAATAGAACGATCGGCAAACGGTGCGCAGTTTACATCTGAAATCGATCAAACGTGTGTGGATTGGGGTGAGGGTTTGGGATCAGGATATGGCGAAAAAGTATTGCGTTAATATTTATATATATACATATATATATATATCGAGAGAGAGTAGTGAAGGATTTAATTCAATTTCATAGGAGAACTTGTTGTATATAGAGCAATTGTAACGTGAACTGAAAAGCTAGAAAACACTGGGTAGCCTGGTCGGGTCTCAGCAGCAGTGCAAATATACCTACCCAACTAGGGATCGAGTCCCGGACCTCACAGACAGAACGCAAGCAAAATATCCAACAGGGCCACCGGACAACTGGCCAGATCGCTTTTCCGTTTACACGATGCAGCACAATCCTTCTTTGTGAGCCTAAGGCAGGCATCGACCCTTGTTCAGCTCATCAATCATTTCCAGGGCTAAGATTCAGTTAAAAACATTGCAACCCCATTACATGAGACAAATGGAGGATTCGGCTTTTTCATGTTGGTGAACTTCGTCGTGTCAGGAGCATATGAAATGTGAACTGGAAATCATTAGACAGCTGTTTCGACCCGGTTGGTTCTCATCAGCCTTTGTGCGGACGAATCCATTGGCCAAGGTCACTGAATAGCTAGAGAACATTTGAAAGTCCCCATGTTGGGTGAAGCAATGTGAAATTTATTGCTGAACATCAAATGGAGTTTTCTGGTTGATAAGTTCAAGTGTTTTGACGATATTTCACACGGATGATTTTACGCATCATTTATGGTAGGAAAAATAATCGCATAAAATAAGTTTACCGGTCTTTCGGTTGTACTCGTCAACATTAACATCTGGTAGTATTTATTTCCTTGTGTAGAGTAAAACAAATTTGTTTAGTATTAACTGAGTAGTCCGGTCGGGAATTGAAATGCATTCCAGCAAATTGTGTCTAATCGAATACCCGAATTATTGATATACTATACTATACTACATACTGTACTATAGACTTTATTTATTCGGACGGCTGAATCAGAGTACAACTAGAGTATCAGTCTGAAATACAGATCCCAGGGTGATATAGCGTTGCTGTGACCTTCATCTATTTTGTGTTTATTTCACAAAAGTCTGAATCCAAACTGTGTGCCATGCAAATCATAACACAACAATCTTCATAAAAAAGAGAAACTTCCGTCATTCGTTTGTCGGCCCAATACTGCCAAGTTGCTCAAGCCAAGGCAGGTGAATTTTTGTGGGGAATTCACAACGAGAGCCTTCAGCTAGCCGGGGCCTGATCCCCAAGGTTAAAATTGGAGAAAACCGCAATCCATGGGGGGGGGTGGGGTGGTGGTGTCCAATTCATTGGATCATACACTCTTTGGACGGGGTCAAACGTCCAAGGTACTCAAGGGAGCTGGTGACCATTAGCACAACCACAAAGGTGTGCGTGGTTCTTTGTTTTCTTCTTGGTTTGTTTGGAATTAATGTTTTTAGCCAACTCTCCTATGTGAACTGCCATTGGCTCACTGACCCGGTTGTAGCCCCAGATGTTGGCTTTTCGTCCCCTCATTTTGGTGAGAAAACACCTCCGACCCACAGAGGGCAGTTGGCAGGGCTCTCTCAGAAGATGTTGTTTGAGACGTCTAGTCGTATAGGAGCATCTATTGAGGTGCAAGGGAGGGGTGACCAGCCAAAACCGAACCAGACAGTCTTACCTGTGAGTCCCACCCACTGAGACAAAATCAAACCTGAGCGCGCAGTACCTCAATACAAATTTAATGGGTTTGTATGTTCAGTATTTATTTGAATTTATAAGTATTCACAGCAAGCTTGATTTGTAAAAATGATGAAATCAATAGACAGATCTGGATATGAGCCACAATTTAGAAGGGAGCAATATATTCAAATAGTTTATCTTGAAAAACAATCTAGCAGTATTCCTTATCACGTGTGAATTGCACGGGCTTCCGATTGATGTAAAACACATGCCTCGCTACGACAGACTGGAGAAGTTCGTATGTGGCTGCAATTTGGCTTCGAAAAGGTCATTGAGCTGCATGTACTGTCCACACCTTTTCCCATCACGCTTTAGCCAAAACCCACAATCCTTTTAGTGTGGACCCATATTTCTTAGCCCAAACCCGCAATGCTATAGCCACGACTCGTAGTCATTTAGCCTCAACGCACAAATTTTAGTCAGGCCGCATTAGGCGAGTCATATAAAAAGTATCGGGATATTCTGAACTTCATGGAGGTTGAGAAAATTATTCCTATACAAATTTTGATGTTACAATGCTTGATTAAGGAAAAAGATGAGTGGGTCTCACACTGCACCACATGTTGACTGCAGAGAAGGTTAATTCCGATGTGCCCGTATCCTCAAACCACTGGATACAGCTCGGACAGCGATACTCATGTGAGTAAAAATCTCAACTGCAACGGTGCTCTGTTGATGAGAATTGGATATATAAACATGCACAAGACAATAAACACACCCTCATAACTACCATCAATTTATTAGCGCGGCAACATTTGACATAATTACCACGGCCCAGGCTCAAGAATCACAGGTTTTGTCTATAGCCCGATGAGAAAAGTTGTGGTAGCTCCAATGGTACTGTTCATGCAACAACGCCGGATACTGAATTTTTGACAATTTAAGATATGAGACGCTTATTGTTAAACACCACTCACTTATACGCACACGACTGGAGACTGATTGCAGTGGTCGAGTCAAAGCAACCGAAATTCACTGTGTCCGGTAAGAACAGCGAGGCCATCACGGTTGGTAAATCTTTGCCGAACAGTTCTAACGAATTGTCCTGTGACACAGTGGACAATTGACACACCACCACGTACGTGTTCAACGCATTCTGCGTAGCATCGTACAGACTGGAATAATTCAGCATGCCAACGCGTTCTTGAATATTGGTCAACTGGCCACTGAGCCATGGAATAGACGTATCAGTCACACTGGTCAGAAATGTCGCATAACCCGGATCGCCCACGGACCAATTGGCTCGTCCGGCACCAGATCGGTACAGTAGTGCAGTAATACTAGTCGGTTTGATTGTCATACTAGCGTAACTTGTCGCAACTTGGCTCACTTGACGACCGACCACATAGAGGCGATAACCAGTGGTGAATGACGCGGCCTCGCAAATCTGGTGCGCGGTGCAATAATTTACCGTTCGATAGTAGCTGAGAATGCATGCGGTCCCGAGGTTCACAAATCCAACTCCGGATGGGCAAGCAGCGTCATAGAGTGCCACTTGAATAAATAGCACGTAATTAAAAACACACCACCAAAAACCGCGTGC